GGGGGGGAAAGAAGCTTAGTCAAGCTGCTGCTACAGAATTCTTGAGAAAAGTGAATTCTGAATCTTCAAGTTTGAAAAAAAGCACACTAAAACTGACGGGAATCTTACCAGTCAAATTCAGATCAGGCTCCAAGTTAGGGTAAAGCCCTTTCTGTCTCATTCGTACACTCCTGCAGCCAGAGTTTGCCTCATCCATTGCCAACTACTTGAGGGTGTCCTCTGTGACATCCCCTGTGCTGGCACCTGCCACAGTCCCTGGCACAGTATTGATCCAATGCAGGGAGTGGGGCAGCCTCGGGCTCGCTCTCACCAGCATGACAGTCACCACAGAAATCAGCTGTACTCAGTTTTCCAGCTTGCATTTCTCCGTCAAGACATTCAACTTTGCAGCCCTTGCAAGGTAGGCATGCGCCTAAAAGGCACAGGAAAGCCCGTAATATACAGGGCTTCCTATGTTAAAACTAGGTGCACTCAACTGGGCTCTGTTGGCCTGGTCACATAGGAGGAAAAAAAAAAAAAAAAAGAGATTTGGGTCCTTAAGCTAATATGACTGCTTTACATCTGCTATAAAAACTGAATATACCTTTGGGCCATCTTTTCCTTGAACACCGTCTTCTCCTGGAGGTCCTGGTTCACCCTTATAGAAAGGAACAGTTGAAAACAAAGTTATTGCCTAAACTTCTCAACATAGAAGTATTGCCTTGGAAAAACTCAGACTAGCTTTACACATGCTTATTATCTTTTGGACAACTTTTATGTTGCTGTTATAGTTTATTTGTCTTCATTTTTCACTGATTTAGTGACAGAGTCAAGCCCTGTGAATCTCAAACACAGGAAAACATAAAAGATCATGAACATTAGAAACATGAGGCAACAGAATGTGTGTATAACACCAGAGATTTGCACAGTGGCACTGAGATTGTTTGGGTTTAGAGTATACAACATGGAATTACAGTAACCTCAAAAATATTCTGTCCTGAAACTTCCATGTTTATGTGGATAACTACTATATTGGTTAAGTTCAGTGACTCAGTTTAGGGCCATGAAAAACTCATCATTTACCAACAGTATCGGCACCATGGCAACTTGCAAATTTTGATGCAGATAGTAAAAAAGCAAATACAGGCTGCCCTACACTAATAACAGTATTTCAGACATAGTGGTATGGTTAAGTCCAGAGCACCCGCTGTGGACCAGTACCAGGAATTACTCTTCTCCAAGGACAGGCAGAATTGTGGAACGCACCTCGCTGGAGATTTTGGGCAGAAGGAAAAGATGACAGCAAGGAGCTAACAGAACAAGAGAGCTCAATGTTAAGACTTAAGTCTGAAAGGATATAGTTTATGCTCTTTTAAAAGTGTCCCAGATAAAATCTGTTTCTAGCATTTTAAAAGGTTTTTTCAGCCTTCAAAGGTAGGGAACTGTTTGGGTGAGATGAGGTGGGTAAGAAGCACAGAAAGAATAAGCAGGGGCACAAGTGCTTGGTAAAATCAAGTGCCAAATGAGCCATCCACAGCACCAGAAGCAAATCAGCTGCTTTAGATGGTGGTACAGAAAGATACCCTGCTCTGCTGAGACTATAATGCTCCCTTTATCTCACCTAGACTGAGTATCCGTACGCATCATTATTGTGTGCTGTCATCTTAACAGCTGGGCTGGACACCCTTGGATTTTCCTTCATGCTCAAACCAGTCATTCATGTCTCTCAGTGACATGAGACACTTAAATAGAAATATTTCAACATTATAATCAATGCTCTTTTTAACTTGCTACAATATTACAAATTTTTTAAAAAAGGTATAGAAAATAGCTTCTTATTGAATTATTCTGATAAATCTAGGTTTCTCAACCTGCATTTCTGACACATTCATAACATCATAGCATTCATAGCATCAGCGCAGTGCAAAAATGATGAGTCAGGAGGACAATCCTGAAGCGGTATAACTCAGAATAGCAGGCGGCAAGAATACTAAATAGGTACAGAAGTAGCCAGAAGAAAAAACAGACATGGAAAAAAAGAACCAGTACTATAGTAGAAACAACTTCAGACTAATGTCACTGTTTTATCCTCAAAAATCTATAGTCATTGACATTGCATAAAGTATTTCCATTTGAAAGATTTGCATCCATAGCTTACTCTTAAACCTTGGTCGCCTGGTTCTCCAGCCTTCCCAGCAGGTCCAATGTCTCCCTGGAATATCACAAGAAAAATAAATCATTGGATTTTTAGGGACAATATTCCTAACAATGATGGGGTTTACAGATAATGCAGTCATCATGACAATAACAATATTTCTTAATGGCTCATCTCCTGTACCACTACCTACTTGGCTAATGAATCAGATCACTCTGATTTGATTTTATGGAAATTTGAAAAATTTAAACAGCACAGAAGAGAATAATTTCAACATTTACCTTTGCACCTGGTTCTCCCTGCAGGCCAGGTTCTCCTTCAGGGCCAGGAGGTCCCTGCATGGTACAAGAGCTACTGTTACACATGGTCACCAGTAATAATTTTGCAACCACGAAATAATACAGCCAAAATTGAAGCAGAAAAATGGCATGAAACACTGGGAAAGATGCATGTCGGAAAAATCAAATTAAGGCTACACAGTTCTTTGCTCTTACTAGAGCCCAACAGAAGAAAAGAAAGGAGGGTATAGGAGGAGTTCAGGAACTGCTCTGTGGATCAGGAATGTATTGAAGACTCAGTGGTACCACTAAGCCTGTACCTTTCATCATAAATTACTAGCAGACTGAGCAATCATCTATCTTTTGTAAATTTGACTGACAACTTCATCACTGTTTAGGCTCAGAGCCAAGCAGATATAGCCTTCAGAGAACAAAGTCCTTTTTGGAGTCTTCAGCCCTTAAAGAGTTAATGGTGTCAGACTGATTCTTGTAAAGTTTACCTTTAAACCTTGTTTTAATAGTCAGTCAGAAGACTGGATTTTGTGTGACTGAGAAAGTGTGTTTCTTTGAATAAGCCAAATCCCTTCTGTTCTAAGTGAGCTCATCCCTCAGCTACTTCATTGCAAATGTGGCTAATACATTCTGTCATATTTCTTTCAAAGAGCTATTAAAAACAAAGTGAGAAATAGAAGCAAAAGTTAGCAAGAAGACTGCCTGCAGCTGCTTTTCTTCATCTACTATTTGCAAGGACATATGATTAATGCTGTTCCACTGTCTAACTGCAAGTTTGCTCAACTATCTGCACCTTCTAGGTGCAGATGTCATGAAAGTATGCCCGAAGACAGTGCTCACAACAGAAAAAGTTACTTATTTTAGACTTTTTTTTTTTTGGTAACAGCTTTAAGTAAGAGAGTCTCTCAGCAGCTCATGGTATTTAAGTCAGATGCAGGTAATAAAAAAAATAGTTTCTAAACACATTGTTCAGGCTTATTCAGTTGCTTGAGTGTAATTGCTATATAAATGATTAAAAGCTCACCTCAAAACCCATTTCTCCAATAGGGCCAACATCGCCTGGTTGTCCTCTTGGACCCTGGCATTAAACAAAATTTTGGATGCATCATTCAATTAACATTAAATTACATTGTATAGTCTTGACTTCGTCATAATTGGCATAAAGAAGTGTATTTCATTGTCTTTCCTCCTGAATCCAACAGTCCATAAGTACCACGATGGCATACAGTACTGAAGACCTCATTGACAATCTTGACACAGATTTCAAATAATAGCACAGATGTCTCTCCTTTCAGACCAAAAGTAAATTATTATCTAAACTAAGCTCTCCTCTTGAATAACTGAGACTTTGTTTAATTAAGGTTTATTAGACTGTCTGGTTTGCTTTGTGGAAAAGCCTACAGTCTGGTATGGAATTAACGGAAAGCATACTGCTTCAGTATGGATTTAGCAATGTTTATATAGGACAATCACTGAGGTGTAATAGACTAAAGGCTGGAGCCTTTTTCATAATATTAGTAACAACACTATGGGCATGTTCTTATAAGCCCTACCATAAGTAGTAAATTTATTGCAGTAATACGTAGGCATTGTTTCCTAAAGCGGCGTGCTCACATTCTCTGCACATGTTAGATTAGACACACATCTCTGCTCACAGAGTTGGATTTGTGTGCTGGGGAATAGAGATGGCCTGTAACAGCTTACAGCTGATTCCATAGCCACTATGAATGTATGTCAAGACAAATCAACCCTCTGGATGTATCCAGTCTTTGAACTTTCCGAAAGTTCATATCCATTTACCCCTTTGGGACTCACCTGTGTTTAAGTACCTTCTAAACTCAAAACATTTTGTTGATCTATTATTCTCACATAAAAAAAAAAAAAAAAAAAAAGATGCTGCTACCTGTATTTAAGATAGAAACATTTTAAGCCAATATTTACTCTTTTTTGTTTCACTTCCTCTTACAGACTTTGCATATAGTTTTGCTCCTCCTGATGACTTGGCAGTGATAATGAGAGTATATTCTTCCCTTGTAGCAACAATGTAAACTGCATACTACTTGAGAGGATTTCAGCAGATGCATATATTTTACCCTATAGCTTCATTTAAGTGTGAACAACTGAAACTGCAGTTAATTTCCTGTTGAGAATTCACTTGGTCCTAAACTAAGTCCATCAGTTTTCATTTGCAGTAACTCCATGGCACTCCACTAGGCAAGTGTCACAAAGCTTAAGTTTGATTCACAAGTCAAGTATTTCTTCATAATATTACCATGGAGCTAAGTCTGCTGGATTGGTCATGTATCTTTCTCCCAAGACTTCCAGGGAATTTCAGAAGCCAGAATTTTATAGTTATGTAGGGACTCGTTTTAACCATTAACAGCAAGGTAATTTGCAAAGAAGGATTCTACTGAAATGTCTCATAAGTAGGTAAAGTTAGAGTGTAATTTAGATCAAGCCTGTTACTACAAATAGTTCTAATTGCTTACATTTCTCTGCTCCTCCACTGATAATCAGGGGTTTTCTGCTCAGTGCAGAACTAGTGACAGGGCCAGAGAAACTGCTTCAGGAGCTGGCTTCCATGTAGCAACCAGCTGACAGAAGATGAAATCAAGCTGCTTGGATGGGCAGTTAAAAAAAGAAGCAAGCCACGCATTTCATTGCGTAACATCTTGTGTCATTTTCATCACTTCTTTCTAGCTGCCCAGACCATTTTCCAAAGACATTTTACTATTTCAGCACTTGAAAGAAAAGGTACCCTCTTCATAGGATAAGCTTTTCTTACTTCTGACACTGCATGTGTAGATTCTACAATGATGAGCACAACAGAAATGCAGGTTGCTCAAGAGTAGACCACTTAGATTAGGTAGGCTGATAGTCATTCTACATATACAAAAAATTCAGACTCGACCAGAAAATGGCAGGAATTTTACGTATAAGCCTTTCATTGTAAGGCTCTCAGATGTCACAACATGAAGATTAGATAAAATAAGTGAAAGAGATGAAGTGACAGGAATCCAATAATAACCATTAGAAAACACATTTTCTGTTGACACATTTTGCCACTTCTACAAGTTGGCAGCTGAAGTTAAGTACGCAATTATATCCAAAAGAAAATTTACCAAAATAAAACCTGTTGTTGGTATTTCACTAGCCCCCCAGAATGTGCTATAGCTTTCTGTAAGCATGTCAGCCCATGGATTAGTAGAAATAATATTTAATAATATTAGAAATAATAATAATTAGTA